TGGCAACGTAGAAGGCTGAAACTTTGCAGGGATATTCTGTATGCACGCACAAGACAAAGGTTTTAAAACCTTTCTAGCTCTCCAACCACAGCCTCAAGAGCTCCCGAACCCAAAAATCGTTAGCAACTCGGACCTGAACCGCAATTGCACGTGCAAGTGAACGTGCATTTTTAGCAATTGTTTATGCAAATGAACGTGGATTTTTTGAAAAAAGACCGTTCGAGCAATACTTTCAATTTTTCAATGAACTAAAAATTTGCATATTTTCAATAATTCGTTCACAGCTCGTACCTTAACTGCAATGGTATATGTAAATGAACGCGGTTTTTTTGGAGAACGACCGCTCGGGCAATACTTTTACTTTTTAGTGACCTCGAAATTTGCATTTCAAAAAGGCAGGGAAATTTGATGGAGTACCTCAAAGTTTGATGCAAAAACGCATGATCGCACCGGCTGGCCTGGTGCGTTCCAACCTGGGTTACATTTGCATATATGGAAAAATGCATAAAAACGTTTTTGCACTTGCATAAATGAAACTGCCATTCTGATTTAAATTTCTGACAAAACAAAGCATAAACAAATTTCAGCTAATGACATCGAACTCAAAATTCCGGTTAATGTTGATCAATGGTGGTTCTGAGCAAACAATACTCAAGAATTTCTTCCTAATCTTGAAAAAAAAAAAAAAAAACTCCAAAAGGGCACTGAAAAATTTTCAGCAGCGTTAGTTTTTTGTTGCTGCTCACCAAGTACGAAGAATCGCGGAATACAGCATCACTCCCACTCACATTTTAGACTTTGCTGTCATCTTTAAATTCATGCTACAAGCATTGTAGATTGCCAGCTAAGTTGTAACTCCAGACTTATTTCTTTAAAAAACCGGTCTTTGGTACGGCTGTATACTGTAAATCAGGGCTGTAATTTCTTAGCGAGAGTTCATTCCAAATAGTGCCGTCTGTCCGAACGACGATTTATGAATAATGCACCCACCTGTTTATTTCTGCTTCGGTCTATCCAAACAAAAATGAAATACTCCTTCAAACTGTTCAGCTGGTAGACGCACTCGAAAACTGAAGCGTCGCATTTGGAAGGTAGTGAAAAAAAAAAAAATCTGCAAGAGCTCTCTTTTGCTGGCGGCCGCATAATTTCGACCCTATTCCCTCGGAACTGATTTTGCCACTGAATTAAATCGCAGTTTAGACTTGTTTTGGTCTAACCATTTACGACCTTAAACTGACTGCATAAACCAAGACCTCAATTGTTTCTTGCCATTTTAGGCCATAAATCTAGTGTTTTTTACTCACGAAAACGTATTCTGTTTGATTAAGAAAGCAGCGTTTTCACTTTAAGTACATGTAGCCGCGATTCTGGGAGGAAACATTTTAACGAATCACGGTCTCGATTTGCAACCGCCTTGTTTTCAAACTGGTTTTTTATGCGTTTTTGCTTCTATGCAAATGCCAAAAAGCAAATTGTGGCGACCCCGGTATGTATGTGTATATGTGTGTGTCTGTCTGCCTTTCTGTCCGGATATTTCAACTCTGCACCCAAGCAAGCTCCGGCGCCAAAATTTTGCCAGTGGTTTCCCCGGCCCAGTGCTACCCCAGGACCGCGGTACCAACCCTCACGCAAATCTAGGCTCCGTGTACGAGGGGGTGAAAGTTTTGGCGGGAAAATCGCTAACTCAGGAACCAGGAAAGCTAGAAAACCGAAATTTTGAGGTTGTGCTCGTTGCCCGCATAGAACTCAATGATTTCAAATTCAGCCTCCAGGTGCGCGCCGTTTTCGCGTATGGCCCCGTGAGGGTACCCGGCTCGAAAATTGCTAACATGAGAACCAGGAAAGCTGGGAGACTGAAATTTTCTGGGAATGTTTCCAGCACATGTTCAGTTTAAGTTTATTAAACTCAACTCCCGAGCATGCGTGGTTCTCACGTACGGCCTCGTGAAATTTTTTGGTGAAATAATGACTAATTCGAAAATCATGAAGGCTGGGGAACTGTAATTTTCGGGGAATGTTCCCCACACAAGTACAATTTAAATTTATCAAATTCAGCTCTTCAGTGCATGCGATACTCATGTTCAGCCTCATGAAAATTTTTGGCAGGAAAATTGCTGACTCAAGGACCAGAAAATTTGGAAAGCTGAAATTGAACGGAATGTCCCCTGTGTTAATACTGCATAGACTATTAGCTTTTCGGACTTCGAGGGCCAGTATATCACACATTTCTATCTGCTGTGTTTCCGAGCGATCTCATTACAGCACGAAATATTGTAAAAACGCATGATCGCAAGGACCCACCTGGTGCGCCTCGCCAATGATTTTTCTTTAAGAAATAGCGTTTTCAGGTGCAGCGAACGCAGTTCGCACTTTCTGCCATGTGTTTTGTGAATCATCGCTTCACTCTGATTTTGAATGATTGGTTCGAAATTGCGCCACGTATCACATTAGAGTTTCAGTTCATCCCACTGTAGCTCGATATTACTTCGCGTACCAGTTCAGGAAGTGATGCCTAAGCTGAAGTGTTGTAGGATTTTTTGCAGTTCAACATCACTTGTAAACGCTGTTTTGATCAGCTGCAAATTTTTAGCTGCTCTCCAGCCATGGTGTTGGCTATTGTTCTAGTTGCTTTGACCAATGCTGCAGCGTCTTTAGTTAGCCCGCAGGCCACCATGACGTTCCTTTCGTTTCTGGGGAGGGATTCTCCCAGCTCCAAGATTCATCCGACAGAAGCACTTGGCAAGTCTTCATCATTTTCGAGATGCCTTAGTGTAGTTTGAGCATGAAGCACTTCATCTCGAACACTGTCACTCCTAGAGCACGTTGACGAACTTTGTCGATCAGGAGCAGTTCAAACTTCGTGTAAAGAGCACTGTCGCATCTGTTTTTCACAATGGGAATCCTGACGTTGTACGGTACTATTATCCCAACTTTAAAAGTTAATTCGCTAGACTATTGGCGCGCCCAGTGTGTGTATGAGTGTGTATCGAAACCCTTAGTTATATGTATATATATATATAGTTATATGTATATATATATATATACATATAACTAGGGGTTTCGATATATATATATATGTATTTACAGTTATATACGAAACTAAGGTTACACAACAAACTCGTAATGGAGGTAACATTGAAAAGAGGTGGCGAGGTTCTGGAAAGCCGAAGCTCCCCAGAATGGAGTTAAGTCGTAAAGAGTGGCTCTCTGGTTTCCGGAATTGGGGAGAAGTGCTTTCATGTAGTCATAGAACACTAAGAATGCAAAAGTTTAAAGAGGTAGGGTGTTCAAAAGGTTCAACCGGTGGTCGGGATATTGCATCATAGTGACGCAATTGTTTCTTACGCTATTTCTAACAAGAGAACATAAATCATTATTTGATATATTATCTGAAAGCATACTGCTTCAGGATAAAGCAAGTACGAATTTACCAACTTAGATGCTTGCTGATTTCAGCTGACACATCAGATCAAAATATTTATCACTGCTTTATTTCTCCGGCTGATGCTCGGTCGTCGGCTAACTCGTCAGCAGTGGATAGCGCTGATGCTGCTAAGTGCTGGAGTGACTGATATACAAATCCAGTATACTCCCACCAAGCGAATCCCGCAAATTACGGAGAAGCCACTGCTTGGGTTCGCTGCAGTACTGACAATGTGCTTCACATCCGCTTTTGCAGGTAAGTTCGAAATACACTGCAACTGGAAAATGTCTTAAATTCCAACAGGCACGTTCGATTACTTATTGCCTTTGCGTGTAAAAGTCGCCACTCAAGTAATTAAATGTTTGTTATAAGACTGCAAACAAATCGTTGTGTTTGACGATAATAATAATACTTATAACGATAACAATAGTAATAATGATAATGCGCCAGTACCGGTTTTTATGCGTTTTTGCATATATGTAAATTGCAAAAACGCATATTGGGAAGAGACTGTCTGTGTATGCGTCTGTGTGTGTGAGTGTGTGTGCGTGTGTGTGGCTGAGTGTTCGCACTTTTTGTCGCCCACTTTCAACTCGAGACCCAGAAAAGCTAGAAGGTTGAAACTTTG